CAGCAGCAGCAGCAGCAGCAGCAGCAAACCTGGAAGCTGGCGAGTTTGACAGTGACTGTGATTTGCTGGCAAACGAAGCAGCAGCTTTTGGGCGGCTCCAAAGCCTCGGGCAGCAGCAGCAAACCAAACTCTTCGCTTTTCCGCCCCGTCACGAACGGCTTCACCCACACCTGCACAAACCCTAAACCCTAAACCCTAAACCCTAAACCCTAAACCCTAAGCCCTGGAGCCCAGGTTCTCGGTGGGCGCGCAGGCCTTGCGGCGCAAGAGGTCTTGCGCAGCAATTGAAATAGAGGTTTGCCCCGTTTACGAGATTAGGGTTTAGGGTTTAGGGTTTGGGGTTTAGGGTTTAGGGTTTGGGGTTTAGGGTTTGGGGTTTGGGGTTCAGGGTTTAGGGTTTAGGGTTTAAGGCGATGGAGACCTGCCGAGCGAGGCTGTCCCGCACTGTCTTCTCTGGCTGCTGCTGCTGCTGCTGCTGCTGCTGCTGCTGCTCCTTCTGCTGCTTCTGCTGCTCCATGAAGCTCAGCAAATGCATTGCCTCTACGACCTGCAGCAGCAGCAGCAGCAGCAGCAGCAGCAGCAAACAACAACAACAGCACGTCCACGCAGCAGCAGCAAGCACGCAGCTACGCGCACCCCAAGACCCTCCAAACCCTAAACCCTAAACCCTAAACCCTAAACCCTAAACCCTAGACCCTAGTTTTATTACCTGCATTGCAGCAACAATTGCATTTGTGCTCGCAATGGCTGGGATGATGGCGCCAACGATTGCCTGCAGCTCCCATCGGTTCTGCAGCAGCAGCAGCAGCAGCAGCAGCAGCAGCAGCAGCAACAGCAGCAGCAGCAGCAGCAGCAGCAGCAATAAATTGGATAATCTTCATCGCAGCAGCAGCAGCAGCAGCGAGCGAGTTACTGCACCCTTTACGCAGCAGCAGCAGCAACTGCAACGGAAACCGAAGCAGCAGCTGCTGCAGCTCCGTTCCCCCAACCAGCAGCAGCAGCAGCCACAGCAGCAGCAGCAGCAGCAGCAGCAGCAGCAGCAGCAGCAGCGAGTGTCTGCGTGCCTTTGGAGGTATGTGGAAGGTGTTCATGCGAATGATGGCTGCTGCAGCAACGAAGTCCATGGCCAGGTCATCGTCCTTGTCGAACGGAATCCCCTGCTGCTGCTGCTGCTGCTGCTGCTGCTGCTGCTGCTGCTGCTGCTGCTGCTGCTGCAGCAGCTTCTGCTTCCTCTCCATAAGTGCGCAGAACGTGCGGAGGAAGATCCGCTGGCACTCCTCCACGGACCAGACCTGGTGCGGCGACGGCTGCTGCCACTGCTGCACACCTGGCTCTGCTGCTGCTGCTGCTGCTGCTGCTGCTGCTGCTGCTGCTGCTGCTGCTGCTGCTGCTGCTGCTGCTGGTACCACTGCAGCAGCAGCTGGGACTGAATGACTGGGGGCTGCGGCTCTTTTCCGCCTTTCCAGTTTTTTTTTAATTTGAGGAGATCTTTGATTTGTTTGCTAAACACTTCCTCCATGACGCGGACCCCCGCTGCTGCCAAACCGCCGCTGCTGCTGCTGCTGCTGCTGCTGCTGCTGCTGCTGCTGCTGCTGCTGCAGCAGCAGCAAAGGGCCTCCAAGTCTGGCTTCAAGTCCGCAAGCAAGTTCGCGGAGTCCGCAGCAGCAAAGAGCAACTCGTGCAGCATTTTGGCCCAAGCAGCACAATGCTCGGGGCGTTCTGGCTGCTGCCTGAGAGTGCAGACGGGGAACTGCTGCTGCTGCTGCTGCTGCTGCTGCTGCTGCTTCGGCTCGCAGTCGAAGCAGAGCGTGCTGCGCCCCACAATCGGCACGGCCTGCCCGCTGTAGCCGCTGCTGCCGCTCTCCAGCAAAGGCTTTGCTGCTGCAGCACAAACTCTGTTTAGCTGCTGCCGGGCTTTTAAGTTATCCAAAGCTCCGAAGCAGCAGCAAAAAGAACTCACCAAAGACACGGAGAAGTTTGCTTCCAAGATGCTGCAGCAGACTCCCATTATTCCGAACAGCAGCCGCCCGTCCACCAGTCCTGCTGCTGCTGCTGCTGCTGCTGCTGCTGCTGCTGCTGGTGGTGCTGGTGGTGCTAGTTGGGGCGCTGCTGCTGCTGCTGCTGCTGCTGCTGCGGGGTCTGCTGCTGCTGCTGCTGCTGCTGCTGCGAGGACGTCGGGGTCGAGGGGGTGGCGGTGGGCGCCGGGGACGGCTGCTGCTGCTGCTGCAGCAGCAGCGCGGGGGTCTGCGCCCGCAGCAGCAGCAGCAGCAGCAGCAGCAGCAGCAGCACGCCCCTGGCGAATGCGGAGGAGCTGCTGCGCGGAAAAAAGCCCGCTTGCTGCTGCTGCCAAGACTGCTGCTTTGCTGCTGCCCACGTGCTGCTGCCTGAAGAAGAACTGCCGATTCAAATTCGTAATATCGACTGAGTCCAAATCCAAAATCAAAATCCTATAAAAGCCCCGCAGCACCAACGCCTTCACCAGCTCGCAGCCAATCCCCCCGGCCCCCACCACCAGCACGCTCCCGCTGCACACCCTGCTGCTGCTGCTGCTGCTGCTGCTGCTGCGGAGGCTGCTGCTGCTGCTGCTGCTGTGGAGGCTGCTGCTGAGGCTGCTGCTGAGGCTGCTGAGGCCGTTGGAGGGGGAGGGGGGCCCACAGGGAGCTTTGGGGGGGCTGCGGCTCGGGGAGGGTGCTGCTGCTGCTGCTGCTGCTGCTGCTGCTGGGCGGGACGAGCTGCTGCTGGACGGGGAGGCTGCTGCTGCAGCACATCCTGCGCCGTCTGCTGCTGCTGCTGCTGCTGCAGCAGCAGACTCAGCCCTGGGATGCTCGTGGGCCCCCATCGCTCAGAAATGTCCGAAGAAGGGTGTGCGCCGACGAGGAAACCGACCCTGCTGCTGCTGCTGCTGCTGCTGCTGCAGCAACTGCTGCTGCTGCTGCTGCTGCTGCTGCTTCTGCAGCAGCAGCTGCTGCTGCTGCTGCAGTCGGAGTTAGAGGCTGCGCGGGGCTCCAGGAGGAAAGAATTGAAATGAGCAGCAAAGACAGAGCGAAGGCCCAAACGACACTCTGGGGATAACTCAGCGCCGTAGGCAGCAGCAGCAGCAGCAGCAGCAGCAGCAGCAGCAGCAGCAGCAGCAGCAGCAGCAGCAGCCGGTGGAGCACCGAGTGAAGAGCAAAAAGAGGAGCAGCAAAGCAGCAAAACGCAAGCAAATAAATAAAAATAAAATAAAATAAATTAAATTAAATTAATTAATTAAAAAGAAAAGAAAATGTAAATTAAATGTCTTAGTCTTTGCATGCGCCAAGACTGCCGCGGCGCGCAGCCGACCGGGGCTTTGGGGCTCTTCGAATTTAATTTAATTTAATTTAATTTATTTAATTAAATAAATTAAATTAATTTAATTAAATTAATTAATTAAATTAAATTAATTTAATTTATTTATTTTGTCTTTAAATGTCAATCATGTTCAACAAATAGTCGCCAGACATGTCCAAAGAAGGAGGCAAAAGCGCCGCCTGCCCCCCATGCTGCTGCTGCTGCTGCTGCTGCTGCTGCTGCTGCTGCTGCTGCTGCTGCTGCTGCTGCTGCTGCTGCTGCTGCTGCATTGGGTGGCCAGTGGTCTGGTCCACCGCTGTAACTGCGGGATTTTCTTTTTCTTTCCAACACTCAAAACTGCCAAAAGAAGAAGAGAAGCTTTCAGTCTTTGCTGCTGCTGCTGTTGCTGCTGTTGCTGCTGTTGCTTCCGTTGCTTGTGCTGCTGCTGCTGTTGCTGCTGCTGCTGGTGCCGTTTGCAGCATTTCTTTGCACAAATCGGGCTTCTGCTGCAGCCCAGCTGCTGCCGAATTCAAATTAAATAAACTGAAAAGCTTTTCATTAGTATTAAATGTTGCTGCTGGCGCTGCAGCTTCTGTGTCTTCTTTGCTAGACCCTATCCAGGACTTGTTCATCCTGCTGCTGCTGCTGCTGCTGCTGCTGTCTTCTTCAATGTTGTTGCTGCTGCTGCTGCTGCTGCATGTTTTGGGGGCGTTTCTGCTGCTGTCTGCGTTTTCGGGGCTGCTGTTCGGATTTGCTTCCGTTTGCTGCTGCTGCTTGTGTGTGGCAGCTGCATCTGGCGGGTTTGCTGCAGCAGCTGCTGCAGCAGCAGCTGCAGCAAAAGAATTAAAACAGATTTGCTGCTTCGAAGTTGTCTTTGAATTTGGACTTTCTGAAGAAGAAAGAAATTCCTTTTCCTGAAGACCGGCGCGGAAGCTGAACAAGTTCAGGTGTATAGGCAGCTCGCCACGCGCTCACCGCAGCAGCCACGCTGAAAGCCATTCAACATGGAGGAAACTGCAGCAATTAAAAGTGGAATTTAAATTAAAAATATATTTTTAAATTCATTTTTAACTTTTATTTTTATTTTTATTCTCTTTTCCAGCTTTCCGACTCTCTCTGCCGCTCACCCCAAAGCCGCCAAGTCCGACAGCCGCCGCCACAGCTGCGCCTTCTCCTCCTGGAGCGTCGAAAGCGAAATAAATAAATTAAATTAATTTAATTAATTTAATTAAATTAAATTAATTAAATTAAATTAAATTAAATTAAATTAAATTAAATTAAATTAAATTAAATTCATTTTAATTCAGTTTTACTTCCAACTTCGACTTCGCCGCCGCCGCCGCCGCCAGCGCCGCGCGCAGCAGCTCGGCTTGCTCTTGGGCTGTACGTACAGCTCGTTCTTTGAGTTGCACTTCGGCCTCCAACTGAAGTTGAAAACATTTTTAAAACTTTTAAAACTTTTAAAACTTTTAAAACTTTTAAAACTTTTAAAAGAAATTTGGAAATAAAAGGAGAACTAAGAGGGCCAGGGGGCCTCCAGGGGCCCCTACTCTGCAGATCTCGGCCTCTTGGCGCTGCAGAGACTGCTGCTGCTGCTGCTTTGCTGCTGCGAACTTATTTGCTGCTTGCTGCAGCAGCAGCAGGCGGCTGCGCATTTCTTCTCTTTCCGCAGCAGCAACTTCTCTCTCCGTCTTCAGTTCTGTCTCGAAAGAAACAAAAAGAAATAAAATAAAAATAAAAAAGAAATAAAATGGAAAACTAAAGAAGCTCCAAGTCCTCAACTGCTTCCCCGCTCAAAGACACCCAAACGAACACCTGCAGCAGCAGCAGCAGCAGCAGCAGCAGCAGCAGCAGCAGCATTGCAGCAGCAGCAGCGAACACCTGCAGCAGCAGCGAACACCTGCAGCAGCAGCAAACACCTGCAGCAGCAGCAGCAGCAGCAGCAGCAGCGGGAGAGCTCACGCTGCAGCGCCTTCTTCAAGCCTCGACACTGGTCCGCGAGGCTGGCCTGGCCGTGGGCAATTTGCTGCAGCAGTTCTGCTGCTGCTTTGTCTCTGTCTTCTTTGAGTTGGAAGTTTTCGTTTTCTCTTTTCAAAGAAAAGAGTTGGACTTCTGCTGCTGCGAGCTGCTGCTGCGCGGCTTCGAGCGCCTGCTGCAGGGCCCCGCGGACGGCCTGCAGCAGCAGCAGCGCAGCAAACGGCGCGGAGAAAAGCAAAAATGAAATAATAATTCCGGAAATTAAATTAAATTAATTCTTTTATTTCAAAATTTGCAAAGTTTCACCCGCAACTCCGCGATTTCCCGCTGCTGCTGCTCGCCGTCCCGGCGCCAGCCGCTGGCCGCCGCCTCCTGCTGCTGCGCAGCAAACGCCGAAGCTGCTCGTTTTTGAACTCCATCTTCATTTATTTTGCGTTTTAATTCATTTATTTCCGAAATGAGTTTCAGTTCTTCTTTTTTTCGGCGCAAGTCCGAAGATCGGAGGTGTTCCATCTCGGCCGCCAGGCTCTGGAACTGCCGCCGATAGCGGCAGAGGAACGAAATGTCTGCATCTTCCGCCGCCAAGTCTTCTTCTTTTTCCAAAAAAGAGTTGCTTTCTTCCATTTTCTCCGAAAAAAAGAATAAAACAGCCTTTCGCGCGAAAAAAACAAGTCCGAAAGTCCAAAGTTGCAAAACGTGAATTGTGACGGAGTGGTGGCAGAACTTGAGTCGCTTGCAGGTCGAGCTGCCTATACACCCCAAGCCGCGCGGAAACCGCAAGCCGATCTTCCATCTTCTGCCGTTCAAATTAATAAATTGTTTTCAAAATGAAATTATAATTCTTTATTCGCACTTCTCAGAAAGTTTTGAGCAGTTTTGCCGCAGAGCCCCCCAGCCCCAAGACGCAACCAACCAACCCCCCAACCGCCGCGCGAGACAGAAACGCCATTCAGGAGGACCCTATCCAACAAATGAGTTTATTTTCCGCCTTTTCTTTTCCATTTGCTATTTCAATTTAATTAATTTAATAATTTTCTCTTTCCAGCGTCGACTCTGGAAGGAACAGAAGGAAGGAGCGGATATGCGCGCAAGCTCCTGAGCCTCACCAGGCCTTCGTCGCTTCCTCTTTCCCCCAAAAAGCCCAGTCTTCTTCACTTTTTAATTATTTAAATTAAATTCAACTTTTTATTTCCTTTTTATTCACGAAGACAGCCGCGAGAGCCCGCCGCGGCGCAAACCGCTTCCCGCCCGTCTGTCTTCGCCGAAAAATCCCGTCTGCCCAGCACGCCGCTAGGGTTTAGGGTTTAGGGTTTAGGGTTTAGGGTTTAGGGTTTACTCTGCAGCCTTCCCTCGCCCTTGCCATCCAACTCGACTTCTCTTCAACTTATTTTCTTTTCTTTTCCACTTTTCAACTCCCCTAAACCCCTGCAGAGCAAAAGGCAAAAAAGAAAAAAGAAAAAGAGCAAATCTTTTGCTTCCAAGGACAGCCACGAGCGCCCCCCGTCTCCGCCAAGCCCCGCCAAACTCCCTGCTGCTGCTGCTGCTGCTGCTGCTGCTGCTGCTGCTGCTGCTGCTGCTGCTGCAGTGCGAAGTGGCTGCACACCGACGATGGAGCCTGCTGCTGTGCTGCCCCCCGCCTCCAAGGGCTCTCTCGCCTCCTACTTCCCGCCTTCGCAGCTCCCCGCCCGCTACCAGCAGCAGCAGCAGCAGCAGCAGCAGCAGCAGCAGCAGCAGCAGCAGGGGCTGCTGCAGCGGGAGGAGCCGCAGGCGCTCGCAGGCGGGCAGCCGCAGCAGCGGAGGGAGCTGCAGCAACGCCAACTCGACGAGAGACAGCTCCCACAACTGCAGCAGCAGCAGCAGCAGCAGCAGCAGCTCAAGCTGCAGCAGCAGCAGCAGCAGCAGCAGCAAGGGGCCGCTGCTGCTCTCGAGGCAGCAGCAGCAATCTTCGGCAGCAAAGAAGGCAAGGGGGCCCCCCTGTCTCACCACTCGGGCGACAGCTGCTGCAGCCCCGCAGTCTCGACAGCAGCAACAGCAGTTGCTGCTGCAGCAGGGCAAGCAGCAGCAGCAGCAGCAGCGGGAGAAGCAGCAGCAGCAACGGAGGCAGACACGGAAACAGACACAGCAGCAGCCGATGAAACAGAGACAACTGCAGCAGTAGACGCAGCAGCAGCAGCAGCAGCAAGCAGCGAGGAGGGCTCTCCACTGGCTAGGCAGCACCAACTCGCTTGGCAGCAGCAGCAGCAGCAGCAGCAGCAGCAGCAGCAGCAGCAGCAAGACGGGGAATGCGTTCAGGCCATACAGCAAGGCCAGTCTTATCAGTCCACCCCACACGAGCAGCAGCAGCAGCAGCAGCAGCAGCAGCAGCAGCAGCAGCAGCAGCCCTGGAGGCGGCTTGTAAATGGAGCAGTGGGGAAGACGCACCAGCTGCTGCTGCTGCTGCAGCAGCTGCTGCTGCAGCACCGCGCCTTGCTGCCAGTTGTCCCCTCTTTGCTGCTAGCAGCAGTGCCAGTTGCAGGGACTCTTTGCGTGCTCGTGGCAAGCCTGTTTCCAGTAAGCCCTAATTTAGGGTTTAGGGTTTGGGGTTTGGGGCTTAGTGTCTAGGGTTTAGGGTTTAGGGTTTAGGGTTTAGGGTTTAGGGTTTTGCGTGTGCGCAGCTTTGCGGGCTGCTGCCTGTCGGGTTTGGGGTTTATATGCTTTGGGGTAATCTGGTTGAGCTGCTGCAGGTAAACCCTAGACGCTAAACCCTAAACCCTAAACCCTAAACCCTAAACCCTAATTCCTCCGTTTCAACTCCTCGAGGCTGAGGCGCTGCGCCTAGGGTTTAGGGTTTAGGGTTTAGGTTTGAGGGTTTAGGGTTTGTGGCTGTTTGCAGGGCGGCAGCGGGTGGCAGCGGGCTGCAGCAGCAGCAGCTGTTTTGCTGCTGCCGCTGCTGCTGCTGCCTGCTGCTGGGTTTGTTGCTGCTGGGGGTTTGCTGCTGCTGCTGCTGCTCCCGCTGCTGTTCATCTTGATTCCTTTGGGCCTCATCTGCAGCGTGCCGCTAGCCGTAAACCCTAAACCCTAAACCCTAAACCCTAAACCCTAGGACTCGAAGCATGTGCTGCATCTTTGAACAGCCATTTTTTCCTTTCTGTCCTCCCATTGAATTTAGGGTTTAGGGTTTAGGGTTTAGGGTTTAGGGTTTAGGGTTTGGAGGCGATTTCCTTGGCTTTCTTTCTATTTCAAATTTATTTTTCGCTTCAAAGGAATATGTGTCTTCTTGGCAGCACCCTAAACCCTAAACCCTAAACCCTAAACCCTAAACCCTAGTTCCAGAATAAGAAACTAAAGTTTGCAGACGCCATAGTTTTCATTGAACTCCCTTGCTTTTAGGGTTTAGGGGGTCCAGACCCTAGGGTTTAGGGTTTAGGGTTTAGGGTTTAGGGTTTTGCTTTTTGCTGCAGGCGGTGTCTACCGGCCTTCTGTTGGTCCTCAACGTCGTCTCGCAGCCCTCCAGAGCTCTAAACCCTAAACCCTAAACCCTAAACCCTAAACCGTAGAAAGGAGGTTTTGGTGGCTCGGGCGAGGCCGCCGCGCTATTATTTTTTTAAAATAAAAAATAAAACAAAATAAGATCAAATAAATGAACTTAAATGAAATTAATTTAATTTAATTTAATTTAATTTAAATTAAATTAAATTCTGTCCGAGCTTCTACTTCTTTGAAGGATATCCATTTATTATTTATTTATTATTTTATTTATTTATTATTTTATTTATTTATTTATTTATTATTTTATTTATTTATTTATTGTTTAATTATTATTTATTATTTGTTAATTGTCTGTTTAATTATTTATTTATTTGTTTATCCATTACCAACTTTCACAATTCAAATGCGGAAATGCATGCAGAAGTCTTGTGAATTAAATGTAAAGTTAATAAATGAAATAAATGAATAAATAAATAAATAATAAAATTAGTAAATTAAATAATAAAATTAATAAATAAATAAATAAATAGATAAATTGAATTTGTTTAAACGTTTAGAACCATTCAGGTGTACGCGTACACTTGAAGAATTTCTTTCGGTGTATTCGGACATTTTAAATTTACAAATAAAATAAATAAAAACAATTAAAAACAATTTAATGAAATTAATTTTTTTAATTATTTTTAAGCAACTAAAAACAATTAAATGCAAATAAAAACAATCAAACGCAATTTAATACCATTTAATGCAATTTAATGCAATTTGAAGAAATAAAAAACAATTAAAAACAATTAATTGCAATTAAATGCAATTAAATGCAATTAAATGCAATTAAATGAAATTAAATGCAATTAAATGCAATTATTATATTAGTATGCATGCAACAAATTGAAAGTAAATAGAAATGAAAAAATAATGGAATTCAAACGAAAAGAATTATAAATAAATAATAAATTGCGCATGCGGACTGCGGTGTCTGTACACCCGAAAAGGCGGTGAAATGGAGAAGTCCAAAACCGCCTTTTGCAAAAATAAAAAACTTTTAATTAAAAACTTTCTGAGTTAAAGTTTAGATAGTAATATATTATAAATGGCACGCATGCACAAGTCTTTTGCATGCGAAATAAATTAATTGTTATATTTTAATTTTATTTAATAATGCATTATCTGGATAGTGCAGACTTGAGTGTATATACACCTGCTCCTGCCAGCTACTGCATGTATGAATAGGGTTTAGGGTTTAGAATTTAGGGTTTAGGGTTTGGGATTTAGAATTTAGGGTTTAGGGTTTAGGGTTTAGGGTTTAGGGGTTAGCGCTGCGACGCAAGACAAATAGGCCCAAAAGAGCTCGCTGGCGTAGCTTTCTGGACTTTGTTGCGAAGCAAAAATATAACTAAAGAAACACAATTCAGTGAATATAATCGAATAAATATAATTAAATAAATAAAATTAAATAAATGTAATTAAATAAATATAATTAAATAAATATATTTAAATGAATATAATTGGCAAGTGTGCCACACACTGTTACCTGCGTCGGCGCGCAGTGTACGTACACCCGAACGCGCATGCAAATAGTACTTTTTCATTTATTTATTTTTCTTCACATTTATGAAAAAAGAAAAACCGAAAACAAATAAATTTGCTCTTCCTCAAATATTAAAAAGGAAATTGAAGAGAAAGTAATTTGACTTTCAACAAAAGCAAAAGCTGCATTGGAAGAATTGAAAGGGGAAAACGAAATAAAATGCATTTAAATTGCATTTAAATTAATTTCAAATTAAAGTTTTCATTAATTGCCAACTTTTTTGCTTTTATTTTAATCTGAAAACCTTTTTTTGGCGAATTCCATTCCGGCGTTTTGCGCATGCGCTGCGCATTCAGGTGTACGTACACCTGAACGCGAGCACTGCATGCGGAATGAATTTGCGCAATTACTTCTTTAAACTGAAAATCTGAGAAAAAATAAAAGTATATTTGGAAATAAAACTTATTTTTAGGCCTCTATAGACGCAAAATTCGCAAAAAGTACTTTTGAAAATTAATTAATTAATTAATTAATTTATTTATTTATTTATTTATTTATTTATGGCAAGGTGAAGTGGCATTTGAAATTAGAAATAAAACAAGAAGAGCCAAAAAGCATTAAGAGGTGTAAAATTGCGAAAATAATTTAAAATTTTTTTTAAATATTTGAAATTAATTTAAATCATTTATTTTTTTATAATTCGAAATGAAAAAATAAACTTCGGGAAAAGCCTTTTGCAAGGCGGAGCTGTCGATACACCTGAACTTCCGCCCCCGCGGCGCAACTTTTCGACTTCTTTATTTATCATTTATTTATTATTTTGTCTATTTTATTTATTTATTTATTTATTTATTTATTTATTTATTTATTTATTTATATGAGAAACAAAAGCGAAAAGCAGCGAGGAACGAAGACAGCTGAAATATGCGAAAGTTGAATTAAATGGAAAATAAAAGAAAAGCAAAAATGCAAAAAATGCAAACAAAGAACTTCTTTGAAGTTGCAAAATAATTAAAAATGAATTAATAATAAATAAGACAAAAAGAGGAAACAATTGGAGTTGAATGGCGAAATAAATAAATTTAAAAAGAAAATAAAAGAAAAAAGAAAAAAGAAAATGACAAAAAGAGAATAAAATAAAGAATGTTAAAGTCGCAAACAAAAGTCCAAAGCGAAATTGCAAAAGGAGAAATAAATGGCAAAGTCAGAAAACAAAAAAGAATTAAATTTGGATAAGAGGAAAAGAAATAAATAAATAAAAAGGAAATAAATGGAATTAAGTTCAAATAACAAAAAGAGAAATAAATAAATAAAATAAAAAACGAAAAAATGACTGCGAAAAGCTGCAGCTGTTCAAATAAAAAGAAATAATAAAAAGAAATAATTTAATTAAAAGGAAATTTAAAGTTTAAATGGCGGTGAAGTTCTGTTTTCGTGTCAGCGTTTGTTTTCTTTAGGGTTTAGGGTTTAGGGTTTAGGGTTTAGGGTTTAGGGTTTAGGGTTTAGGCAGCCGAAGGGAAACCCTGGAAACCAGAAGTGGCGCGGGCCAGCTGTGTTTCCTGATCAGTGTAGCGGTTAGGTGTAGGGTTTAGGGGTTAGGGTTTAGGGTTTAGGGTTTAGGGTTTAGGGTTTAGGGTTTAGGGTTTAAAGGGGTAGAGGCTGTGTAAGTAAAGTTTAGTAGTGAAATGCGGATTGGGCGGAGTGGAGGGTTTTGGAGAGGGCAAAGTTGAGGTGTACGTACAGCTGGCGCGGGTGTCTGTGCAGGTCTGCGGCTGAGGGTTTAGGGTTTAGGGTTTAGGGTTTAGCAGTTCGGGCTGGCGTGTCAGTGCGAGGGTTTGGATTTCTTTTTGTTTGGAGTTTTTATTTGCAATTCGGAAAATCATTTTAAAAGGAGGCGAAGGCGGAAGCTGAGGTGTACGTACACCGCGCGTGGGGTGTCTGTGCAGCTCCGGGTTCGGCTGGCGCCGAAAGCAGCAAAAAAAGGTCCGCCGGAGCCGCTGGAAAGCCACAAACACTTCTAAAATAGTGAATTATTCTTTATTTTGATTAATTAAATCTTATTTTTGCTTTTAATCATTCAAATTCGCCGGGCCTTTCGCGTTTCGCTCCCTGCGCCGCTGCGGCGGCTGCTCCGCGCTCCCTGCTGCTGCAAAGCAGCTTCTTCCTGCCGCCTTTTTGCATTTTCTTTTTCTAAGTTGTTATTTTATTTAATATTTTGTTTGTTTTCACTCCGTGTGTCTGTCTTCCCGAGCGCAGCACGCAGCTCCGCCCCGCGGCGCGGCGCACGCAGCAGCAGCAGACCACTGGTCACGCGGCGCGCCGCAGCAGCAGCAGCAGCAGCAGCAGCAGCAGCAGCAGCAGCAAAATGAGCGCAGCAGCAGCAGAACCCGGAGCCAGAGACGCCCCCTGCTTGGGGCCCCCCCCTGTCCTCAACATCTACCATGCTGCAGCAGCAGGACTGTCAGCAGCGCAGCAGCGGCGAATTGTTTTGCTGAAGAAGAAGATAAGGGCGGAGCATGCGCGGCTTTTGAAGCTCAAGGAGGCCAAGCTGAAGGAGCTGCAGCAGCAGCAGCAGCAGCAGCAGCAGCAGCAGCAGGGGAGGAAGGGGCAGCAGCAGGAGGGCGCTCAAGCCCTCTCCAAGGAGCAGCAGGAGCAGGAACTGCGCAAACTGCAGCAGCAGCAGCTGCAGCAGCAGCAGCTGCAGCAGCAGCACGAGCTGACCTATCCCCTCACCGGCTTTGAAGTCCACTGGGCAGACGACCAACAAAACCTCGTCAGGTGGCCTTCCTGCTGCTGCTGCTGCTGCTGCTGCTGCTGCTGCTGCTGCTGTTGCTGCTGCTGCTGCTGCTGCTGTTGAATTGGCTCAGCTAGCTAGCCAAATAGCTAGCTGGCTAGCTAGCTGGCTAGCTATAGTTGGTGATGGCTAGGCTGTTTGTGGTTTGAGAAGCTGCCATCTTTGCTGCTGCTGGAGTGCTGCTGCTGCTGCTGGAGTGCTGCTGCTGCTGCTGCTGGAGTGCTGCTGCTGCTGCTGGAGTGCTGCTGCTGCTGCTGCTGGAGTGCTACTGCTGCTGCTTCTGTCTGGCCATAATCCTTGCTGCTGCTGCTTGTGTGTTTGCTGCTGCTGCTTGTGTCTGCCGCCTCGCTGCTTCCCCGCTGCTGCTGCTTCCCCCTGCTGCTGCTGCTTCCCCCCTGCTGCTGCTGCTGCTGCTGCTGCTGCTGCTGCTGCCTCGCTCCTCCTCCTCCTCCCACCACCACAACAAAAACCACACTCCTGCTGCTGCCGCCTCCCCGCTGCTGCTGCCGCTGCTGCTGCTGCTGCTGCTGCCGCCTCCCCGCCGCCGCTGCTGCTGCTGCTGCTGCTGCTGCTGCTGCTGCTGCAGGCTGCTGGTGGCGCGGGACTGGCACGTGCCGCGGGCCTTTGCGCTGGCCAAGGAGGCCCTGGCCATTCGGCGGCTGCTGCAGCCGGAGCGCATAAAGCCGCAGCAAGTCAAAGCAGCAGCAGCAAAGGGGCAGCTCTACCGCAGGGGCTTCGACAGACTCGGCCGCCCCCTCATCTACGTCAGGTCAGCAGCTAGCTAGCTAGCTAGCTAGCTGGCTAGCTGGGGGGTAGCTGGGGGTAGATGGAGGGGTAGATGGAGGGGTAGATGGAGGGGTGGCTAGCGAGCTGGCTAGCTGGGCGTCTGGCTGGGTAGATGGGTGGCTAGCTGGGTGGCTAGCTAGCTAGCTAGCTAGCTAGCTAGCTAGCTAGCTAGCTAGCTAGCTGGGCATTTGGCTGGGTAGATGGGGAGCTAGCTGGGTGGCTAGCTAGCTAGCTGGGCATTTGGCTGGGTAGATGAGTAGCTAGCTGGGTAGCTAGCTAGCTGGCTAGCTGGCTAGCTGGCTAGCTAGCTGGGTAGCTAGCTAGCTAGCTAGCTACCCAGCTAGCCAGCCAGTTGAGTGGATGGCACGGCTAGCTGGTTAGCTCGCCGAGCCGATAGCAGCTAGCTAGCTGGGAAGCCAGCCGTGTGTGTAGCCAGCTAGCTGACCACTAGGCAGCCAGGCAGATGGCTAGCTAGCTAGCTGGCTAGCTAGCTGGCTAGCTAGCTAGCTAGCTAGGATAGAAGGCGCGGAACAAGTGCAGAGCGAGCTAGCCAGCACACAGTCAACACCCCCAGCAGCAGCAGCAGCACCCCAGCAGCAGCAGCAGCAGCAGCAGCAGCAGCAGCAGCAGCAGCAGCAGCAGGAGGGCGTGGGCGGTGCTGCAGGCCGGCGCTGAGCGAGGGGTCCGGGGCGGAGGCGATAAGCCTGCTGGTGTACACTTTGGAGCGGGCGTGTCAGTCGCAGCAGCGGCACGGAGCTGCTGCTGCTGCTGCTGCTGCTGCTGCTGCTGGACTTTGTTTGCTGCTGGACTACAACAATTACTCTAATGACAATCAGCCTTCGCTGCCGACGGCGCTGCGCTTCGTCCAGCTCTTCCAGTGTATCTACGCCGAGCAGCTCGCGGCGGCTTTCCTCGTGGACACCCCCTGGTACTTCTCCGTAAGTCCGCGCTGCTGCTGCTGCTGCTGCTGCTGCTGCTGCAGCAGCGGCTGCTGCAGCGGCTGCTGCTGCTGCTGCTGCTGCTTTTTCGTTGCGGGTGGTGCTGGGGCGGCGGCTTTTTGCTGCTGTGCAGCAAACGCGTGTGCCGTGCCTGCCTACGAGCAGGAAGGGTCTGCTGCTGCTGCTGCTGCTGTGCTGCTGCTGCTGCTGCTGCTGCTGTGTGATTTGTCGAGTCGTTTCCCTCCGGGACGTTTCCAAGCCTGCTGTGGGCACGCTTGTGCCTGTGGGATGGCACGCAATTTGCTGCTGCTGCTGCTGCTGCTGCTGCTGCTGCTGCTGTTTTGTGTTTGTTTGTTAAGACTTTTTGGAATTGCATTTCTCCTTTTCTTCCGTCGCGCACCGCCGCGAAAATAAAATTCATTTCGACTTCAAATCCGGAAGAAGTGAAGCAGATATTTGACGCGGTGAGCGGCGGCGCAGTTCGCGTTCAAGTTTCTGAATTGGGGGCGATCTGGGTCATTTTTGGAGGTAGAAAGCAGCTTTTTGAATTAATTAGATGAAATTAATGATTTAAAATTCAAATAAAGCATTTTGGAAAGCCCTTTCGAGCCGGAAGCGTCCGGATCGCGCAGCTTTCCGTGCAGATCGACCCCAAGTACGTCGAGTCGTGGGTGCCCGGCGGCGAAGCCACCTCCAAGTACGACCACGAGGCTTACTGGGAAGAAGAAAATAAACAATTTGAGACTTATATGAAATTTCTTCAACAAGAATTCTTCAAAAAGTCGATGGCTCAGCGCATTGCAGAAGACGCCGCCTTCCACGCGGCCCTGGCCAGCGGCAAGTCCGTGGAAGAGGCCACCGAAATCGCCAGGAACACCACCGCGAACAAAGCCCCCGCAGGTCTCTAGGGTTTAGGGTTTAGGGTTTAGGGTTTAGGGTTTAGGGTTTGGGGTTTGGGGTTCGGGTTTGGGGTTGGGCGTGGGCGCAGGGGCGTGCGTGCAGCGTTCAGGGTTTCGGCTTCCGTTTCGGGCCAAAAGGGCGGGGCTTTTGGCTGAGGGGCTACTAGGGTTTAGGGTTTAGGGTTTAGGGTTTGGGGAAGCGGCTTTGGAGAGGGTTTTCGGGGGTTTTGAACCGGCTTTTGCTGCTGCAGGAGCAGCAGATGACAGCGCAACAGCAGAAACGCAAGACGGAGAAGAAGAAGCTGAAGACAGTGACGATCCGGACACTCCGGAGTCTTTAGAAGACGAGCAGAAGCGTTTGCTGCTGCAGGAGGCGCTGCGGAAGCAAGCAGAAGCAGAAGCAGCAGCAGCAGCACCAGCAGCAGCAGCAGCAGCGCCAGCAGCAGCAGCAGCAGCAGCAGCGCCAGCAGCAGCAGCAGCGGCGAAGCCTCACGCCGCTGCGCCTAGTAGCTCTTAACGCAGCAAAATAGAAAACTGCGTTTTCACTTTTGGGATTTCCCTGGGGCTTACCAGGCCTTTAATGCAGCAGCAGAAGAGCAGCAGCAGAAGAGCAGCAGCAAAAGAGCAGCAGCAGAGGAGCAGCAGCAAAAGAGCAGCAGCAGAAGAGCAGCAGCGAAAGAGCAGCAGCGAAAGAGCAGCAGCAAACTGTCTTTTGCTTCCTCCCCAACCTAACCCCAGCACTTTGTGTCCAGAGACTTGCTGGCTGAAGAATATTAGCTAGCTGGTCGCTAGCTGGCTGGCTGATGGCTAGCTAGCTAGCTAGCTGATGCGTAGCTAGCTAGCTGTGGAGTTGGGGCTAGCTGAGAGCTAGCTAGCTAGCTGAGGACTGGTAGATAGCTGAGAGCTAGCTAGCTAGCTGGCGAATAGCTAGCTAGCTGGCGAACAGCTAGCTAGCTGAGGGATAGCTAGCTAGCTGAGAGGTAGCCAGCTAGCTGAGAGTTAGCTAGCTAGCTGGGGGCTAGCTAGCCATCTTAAATGTAGCTAGCTAGCTGAGGGGTAGCTAGCTGGCCTGTGGCTAGCTGGGGCTTGGTGGCTAGCTGATGGCTAGCTAGCTAGCTACCTAGCAGCAAGGTGGCTGGTAGCTAGCTGGCTGCTAGCTAGCTGGCAAGCTGGCTGCACGTTGTGGCTGCTGCTGCTGCTGCTTCTGCTACTGCTGCTGCTTCTGCTACTGCTGCTGCTGCTGCTGCTACTGCTGCTGCTGCTGCTGCTGCTGTTAAATGTGAATATGAAATATAAAGTTACGAGCTTTATTTGTAGCTGGTTGCAAACCTGAAAGTCCAGAAAGCCCCAAATTGGAAACAATTATTATAATTATACTTTTAATTATAAGTATTATAATTATATTTATATTTTAATTCAAATAAATAAATTAATTATTTGAAACAAAACATTTATATCTGCTGCTTCATTTCGCCTGCCTCTCAAGTTCTGCTTCTTTCTAGCGGCTGCTGCGCTGCCACAGCTAGCCACAGCTAGCCATAGCTAGCCACAGCTAGCTACAGCTAGCCACAGCTAGCCATAGCTAGCTACGGCTAGCTGTAGCTAGCCATAATAGAATTTGAATTGCCGCTGAAGCCACAGCGCATGCGCGGGGCCGGGTGGGGCTTTGGGCGTTTCTGGTTTCTGCGCGGAGTTCAAATATTTGCGGGTCGTCTGAGCTGCAAATACAAAATTAAATATATTTAAAAACATAAATAAAAGCAATTCAGAGATATTTAAATAAATAAGGAGCTAGAAGCGCAGCAGCAGCAGCAGCGCCTGCTGCTGCTGCTGCTGCTGCTGCTGCTGCAGCGGCCGGGGCTGGGAGCACGTGGGGCGGCGGGGCGAGTCGGGTCCTTCGTTTTGCTGCTGGCTTTGGGTTTTTTCGCCCATTGGGAGTTCCAATTGGAGGAATTTTGCATTTAATTTAAATAAATAAAACAAAAAAGACAAAAAAAAGACGCAATGGGGCGCATGTACGGCAACGGCAAGGGCATGAGCGCCCCCGCCCCCCCCTTCCGCAGAAGGCCCCCCAGCTGGCTGCGGGTGAAGCCCCAGGAGGTGGAGGACCACATAGTGAAGTTGGCGAGGAAGGGGCAGACTCCCTCTCAGGTCAGCAGCAGCAGCAGCAGCAGCAGCAGCAGCAGCAGCAGCAGCGGCTGCAGCAGCAGCAGCAGGTGCTGCTGCCCGGCGGGGCGGCCGCGCACGGTGGCCGACACGACGTGGGGTGGCACCGCTCTTGTGCTTGTGCAATTTTGCTGACATTGCCAGCCTGCTGCTGCTGCAGCAGCAGCAGCAGCAGCTGCAGCAGCAGCAGCAGCTGCTGCAGCAGCAGCAGCAGCAGCAGCAGCTGTGTAGGTGGTCTTGCTGCTGCTGCTCGGGCTTGTGGCTCTCGCTGCTGCGGCTTGAGAACAGTTGCATCCACGTGGATCTTCTGTTCGGGCGTATGCACCCCTGCCGCGCTGCTGCTGCTGCTGCAGCAGCTGCAGCAGCAGCAGCAGCAGCAGCAGCAGCAGCAGCAGCAGCAGTTGAGTTAGCAGTGTTAGGGGCTCCGTGTGTGTCGGCGCTCTGCATCTGCTGCTCGCAAAAAAAGTCTTCGGCCTTTTTCGCTGCTGTTCAGCTGCAGCCGACTGGACAAGCAGCACCCTCGTGTCGATACACCGCAACTTGCTGCTGCTGCTGCTGCTGCTGCTGCAGCAGCTGCTGCTGCTGCTGCAGCGCACTGAGCAAGCAGCACCCTCGTGTCGATGCGCCACAGCTTGTTCCTGCAGCAGCAGCAGCTGCTGCTGCTGCTGCTGCAGCTGACTGACCCTGTGTCGATACACCGCGGCTTGTTGCTGCTGCTGCTGCTGCAGCAGCAGCAGCAGCAGCAGCAGCAGCAGCAGCAGCCCGGCGAGAAGCCAAGGGCGAATTATTAATTTGTTTGATTTGCTGCAAGTTGTGGGCTGGGGTGTATGTACAGATCGGCGTCACCCTCAGAGACCAGTTTGGAATTCCCCAAGTCAAAAGTGTTACTGGCAGCAAAATTCTGCGCATTCTGAAGAAGCAAGGTAAACCCTAAACCCTAAACCCTAAACCCTAAACCCTCGCTGCAAACCCTAGCCTCAGGCCCCAGTCTCAAACCCTAGTCAGCAGCTGGCAGAGCCGCTCTCAAACCCTGGTTTCGAGCCGCAGCTACTTGTAAACCCTAAACCCTAGTTTCTCAAACCCTAAACCCTAGTTTTGCAAACCCTAAACCCTAGTTTTGCAAACCCTAAACCCTCGAAAGGAATTGTTTCTCCGCATGCAACTGATAGTCAATTAATTCTTTTAAATTGTATTTCTTGGCTAACAACGCATGCAACAGCAAAAGAGCGCAAGACTCATCTTGGAGCCCCCGAAGGTTTCTGTGGCGGCCCCGCCGTCGCTCTCGCGCGCATATTTTCTTTCTTTTTTCTCTTTTTTGTTTTATTTTATTTTCAAAATAATTAATTATCTTCTGCATGCATTTTTCCAAATATTTAAATCTGTTTTCCTCGCCGTTTCGCCAGCTGGTCGTTCCGTCTCGACATGTTTCGGGTGTACAGACACCTCTGTGCTTAGGATGCTCGGGCGTGCAGCTCCGTTGTTTTTTTGAATATTTGCGAAATATAAATAAATAAATAAATAAATAAATTAATGGAATTTAGAAGTTAAAATAATTGGAAATTGTGCCAAGGAAGACGGGTGCCCACTGCAACATGAATTGCAACTTGAATTGCATTGGGCGGATCTGTGTCAGTGGGTGTCTGTTTCTCTCCTGCTGCATCCAATAAAGACTGTAACTACTTCACTGAATTGTCATTTAAAATGCATTAAATAGTTATTTAATGGTTTTTAAAATACATTAAATAGTTATTCGCGAGTTCACTGAAAGCAGCAGCTGCAGTTGCTGCTGCTGCAGCAGAGCTGCTGCAGTTGCTGCTGCTGCAGCAGAGCTGCTGCAGCTGCTGCAGCAGCAGCTGCTGCAGTTGCTGCAGCTGCTGCAGGGGCTGAAGCTGCTGCTGTGTGCTGCTGCAGGAATAGCTCCTGAGATCCCTGAGGACTTGTACTTTTTGATAAAAAAGGCAGTGGCAGTCCGCAAACATCTCGAGAAAAACAGAAAAGATGCAGACTCCAAGTTTCGACTAATTTTGGTGGAGTCCAGAATCCACCGGCTGGGCCGTTACTACCGGCGCACGAAGCAGCTGCCTGCGACGTGGAAGTACCAGAGTTCCACGGCTTCCGCGCTGGTCGCCTGACCCAAACCCTAAACCCTAAACCCTAAACCCTAAACCCTAGGCGCGTGAGCCCTAGGCGCGGAGGCCGCAGGGCCGCGGGCTGCTGCCGCGCCGCCTTCGTGGCTTGGGCCCGCTGCCGAAACCCTCGTGGCGGTTTAGAGCTGCTGCGGTGGTTTGCTGCTGCTGCAGTGGTTTGCTGCTGCTGCGGTGGTTTGCTGCTGCTGCGGTGGTTTGCTGCTGCTGCAGTGGTTTGGCGCTGCAGCGGTGGTTTGCTGCTGCTGCAGTGGTTTAGTGGCTTCAGCATTGAACCTTCTTGCTTCCTTTTTGCTTCCTCAAACAACGGCAGTTCCCGCGTGCCGAAGGCGACCAGGGGTCAAGGCCTAGGGTTTAGGGTTTAGGGTTTAGGGTTTAGGGTTTGGCGCAGAATCCTAGCCAGAGTTCAGGTCCAGCGAAGGGTTTCATAAAGAAACTGCCTAGGGTTTAGGGTTTAGGTCTGTTAACTACGACGCCCAGGGTTTAGATCGGCTAGTTGGACCTAGGGTTTAGGGTTTAGGGTTTAGGGTTTAGCTTCGTCCTAGATACCTGTGGAGGGTTTAGGGTTCAGGCTTGTTAGAGGCAGCTAGGGTTTAGGATATGGGAAACTTCGTGGCGTTTAGGGTTTAGTTTAGGGTTTAGGGTTTGGGCTCGGTTGCTGAACCTGGGGTTTAGGGTTCAAGCATTTAGGGTTTAGGGTTTGGGTTCGGTTGCTGAACCTGGGGTTTAGGGTTCAAGCATTTACCTGAGCCTAGGGTTTAGGGTTTAGGGTAGGGTTTAGGCTTAAGGGGGCACCGAGAGCTAAGAGTTCGGGCCTGCTAGCGAGGCCTAGGGTTTAGGGTTTAAGGTGGTTTTGAAGAATTAGGGTTTAGGGTTTACGGTCTAGGGTTTAGGGTTTAGGCTTGTTGGGAGGAAACTTAGCTTGAGGGTTTAGGCGCGTTAAAGGCAGCTTGGGTTAAGGGTTTAGGGTTGTGGGGACCACGTAGGGTTTAGGGTTTAGAACGTATGTAAAGCTAGGGTTTAGGGTTTAGGGTTTACGGTTGTTAGAGGCACCTAGGGTCTAGGGTTTAGGCGGCACCTAGGGTCTAGGGTTTAGGCATGTTAGAGGCAACTTGAGTTTAGGGTTTAGGGTTTAGGGTTTAGACTTTTTGGGGACACGCAGGCCTCAGGCCAAACTCTTTAGGGGCACACGTAGGGTTTAGAGTTTGGGCTTTTTGCGGGCACCTAGGGTTTAGGGTTTAGGGTTTTCGGTGAAACCTAGGGTTTAGTGCTTAGGATTATTAAGGGCGCCCATGGTTTCTTGTTTTGGCCTGTTAGGGTTTAGGCTCTCAAGGGCAACTAGGGTTTAGGGTTTATTCTCTTTAGGGTGTAGGGTTTATTCTCTTTAGGGTTTAGGGTTTATTCTCTTTAGGGTTTAGGGTTTATTCAGGGGCTAGGGTTTAAGCCTGTCAAGAACTAGGGTTTAGGGTTACCTAATTCCCAGCGACGGTGCCAATACCACTTTTAAGGGTTTAGGTTTTCGCAGGCATTTAAAAACACTGCAGCACAAGTTAGAAGGCCAGAGTCGGTAAGCAGCAGAGTCTGTTTTGAGGGTTTAGGGTTTAGGGTTTAGGGTTTAGTAGCAGCAGCAAAAGCGCCGCGGGTTCGAGTTGGCGCCGTTGGTGCAAATTAAATGAATTAGCATCAGTGTGAACTTTTAGGACTTTTGAAAATATTTATTTTAAGTTTTAAATTGAAAATATTTATTTTAAATTTTAAATCCCTTTAGAGCTTTGGGCGTTTTTGGAGAAGGGGCAGCAGCAGCAGCAACTGCAGCAGCAGCAGCAACGACAGCAGCAGCAGCAGCAGCAGCAGCAAATGGAAGAAGCAGCAGAAAGAGCAGCAGCCACGGAGGCAGCAAAGACTGCAGCCGAGCCTGCAAACAGCAGCAAAATTGTTTTAATAAAAACCTTTCTGCAGCTAAAAAGAAAATATTCGGAAGTGGCTATTCATAGCCAAAGAAATAAAACTGAAAAATATATTTTTGAATTTCAGGAAGAATTTGATTTCCATTTTGATAATTATTATGAACTTGAAAGAAAAATTCTAAAATATACTTTTAAATGCTCAGCAGCACTTCACATTTTTGGAGAAGTAAAAAGAAATGAAAAAAATGCAGAAAAACCGACGCCGCGAAAACGGGAGGAGCTGTACGTACACCGCAGCTGCGACTGGTGTATATTTGAAGCGTTTTGGAGAAATTTGGAAAAGTAATTAAATAAACAAATGAGTAATTAAATAAACAAATGAGAAGACAGAACAAAAAAGGCAAAAGAGGGGCCAACAAAAGCAGAAAAAGAGAAACTAGAGAGCAAATAAAAGGGTTTAAATTGCATTTGCTTTTGCAAAACGAAATAGACTTTCATTTAATCACTTCAGTTTATTTCTAAAAATGTTGTTTGGCACTTCCACTAAGTTGAATTTATATTATTTGATGACAATAAGACAAGAAATTGAAATAATAAAAATGTAATTTTCCGCGGAGTTCAACGAAGCAAAAGTGAAACTGAAGACTGACACCGCTGGGGCCTTGCTGCGGCTAAATTTGGGGTTTGCAGCTCTAAATTAATACTATTAAATGCAAAAAGACAACTTTTGAGCTAAAAGAATATAAATTAATAATATTAAATGCAAAAATATAACTTTTTATTCTTTTTTAATTAAAAAATGCACAAAAAGTGCAAACAAATGCCATATTGCGAGCCACGCTGAACTACCAATAGCCCAACTTATTTAAAGTTTCCAAAAACAGTTCTGCTGCAGCGTTGCACTTCGAAATGTCAGTTTTGAACTTGAACAGAAAAGCAAACAAAAAACATTTAATTTAAAATTAGACTTTTTAGTAAAGTTCTTTTTAGCGCAGTGAAATATATTTCCTTGTGCCAGTCTTTCAATGCTGCCTCTAAGTCAAAGTTGCAATACCACTTGGCCTCTGAAAACTTCTTCATTTTTGTTTTTTTCATTGCAAAAAACAAAAATAAAGAGCTTTTTTCGGGGACTCTGACTGTTTGCATGCAAAAGACTTAAAAGCCCCTCAAGAGTCTTCATGCTAAATTATCAAATGGCGCAAAAGCCATTCCGATGAAGTGTTAGAAAGACAAAATGGGATTTGACAAAAAAGAAAAAAAGATATTTCAGAAGTCCAAAGTGCACACTATAAAGCCACGCCAAGCAGAGCCCAAGGGGATACCGCATGGAAGTTTAGTTACGGGAAACTTGAAAAACTGATGCGAAGTTCTTAAAATGAATTATTGAAATTCCCTTTACCAATAAAAACATAGAAGTCAGTTTTCCAAAATAGCATGGTGTACGTACAGTGGGTTGGACTCAAGAGCTTTTTGGGGTTTGTTTGTTGCCATTTGTTTCAGATGGATGTGTTCATCTTTGTTGCATAATTAGACCTTTTTTACTTTTACTTTTGCTGACTTGCAAGAGCCAAGCACAACTTGTTCTTTTCACTTTTGAACTCTTCAAACAACCTACCAGAAGCCGGAGTGAATCGCTTCGGGAAGGTGTACGTACACCTGGAAGGTTTCGAACTGGAGCTGCGGTGTACAGACAGCTGGGGTTAAGACTGCGTTGAGGTGTACAGACAGCTGCAGGCAGCTGGACTTTGGACTTTGATTTTGTGGCTGAGTTGAGGTGTACGTACACTGGAGGGCTGGGGTGTACGTGCACCTGGGGTCTTGAATCATTTCTTGCAGATTTCTTTGCTTCAAGTAGCAGCAGCAGCAGCAGCAGCAGCAGCAGCAGGCAGCAATTGTTGCTGCTTGCTCAGACACATTTTGCAAACACAAATGCGGCTTGCAGTACTCAGAGTGCATTGAAAAGCTGCTGCATGCATGTGGGGGCTGGTAGTTGGAGTGCAAAACGAAAGAAAAGTGCAGAAAGCACTAAACTGTTATTGTGTTGCGCTGCAGGTGATGCTGCTGTGCAGCACGAGAGCTGCTGCTCTGCCTGCTGCACGGCGTTGTGCGTAGCAGCAGAGTTTCACTTTAGAGATCTCTGGAGGGCGAAGCTCTCTGAGTTTTTTGAAGCACTTCGGAGGTTTTTTTTGTTTGCATTGCAAAGTTTTGTGAAGTGGCACTTGCAGGGAAGTGGTATTGGTGTTGGTGATGGCGCGGCACCGTAGATTTTTGTTTTGCTGCTGCTTTCTTTTGCTGCTGCTTTCTTTTGCTGCTGCTTTCTTTTGCTGCTGCTTTCTTTTGCTGCTGCTTTCCTTTGCTGCTGCTTTCTTTTGCTGCTGCTTTCTTTTGCTGCTGCTTTCTTTTGCTGCTGCTTTCGTTTGCTGCTGCTTTCTTTTGCTGCTGCTTTCGTTTGCTGCTGCTTTCCTGCTTTCGTTTGCTGCTGCTTTCGTTTGCTGCTGCTTTCGTTTGCTGCTGCTTTCGTTTGCTGCGGCTTCCGTTTGCTGCTGCTTTCGTTTGCTGCTGCTTTCTTTTGCTGCTGCTTTCGTTTGCTGCTGCTTTCTTTTGCTGCTGCTTTCTTTTGCTGCTGCTTTCGTTTGCTGCTGCTTTCGTTTGCTGCTGCTTTCGTTTGCTGCGGCTTCCTTTTGCTGCTACCGGGCCACTCTGAATCCTCAGGAATGACTTGCTGCTGCATCCACAAAGGCAACATGCAAGAACTTGTATTTGTTTCTGTGGCTGACGATTTCGCGGGGCAGTTCTTGTCATGGGCCACAGACTGTTGAACTGCAAAGGCAGATGAGTCAGGAGTTGTGTTTAGTTCAAACAAAAGCCAAGGGCAGCACGCCTGTGCACTAAACTTAGAACTATACGCGTAGATTAAAACGGCCCCGCGAGATTCGCTGAAGTCGAGGCCACAAGTTTGGAGGAAAGAAACAGTTCGTGGAGCATATTAATGAAGTACTGAAGTTGCTTTGCAACTTCGGTACTGGCGTGTGACGAATAGGGCGCGAACAGTTGCTGCTGTGGCAAACACTACTCCTGAGA